TTATATGATTTTACTGAGTAACACACGAACGCGTAAAAATATTCGATAACAATTTTATTAATCGACGGAAGTAAATAAAAGGAATTGAACTAATGAACTCTAAAAGAATGTAAATGTCAATGAACAAACTGGAATACAGGAATTAGAACTCTTCTTGTTGGGTCTTCAACTTGGAATATGTTTCTTGGCGTTTTAATCGTACGACTTCGACGTGTGTATCCGATGGTGATGTCGATACAACTCCAATAAATAAAAGAAAATGAATCACAAAAATCGGAGCCTATGGAAATTCCAAGCTGCGTGTGAAACTATACCAATGAGTATAGAATCCAGCAAAGAACCCTAGGTCCACAAATAGCACAAGAAACAAAACAACGAGGCGGATTCGTTTTCACAGAACCCAAGGCCTGTTTTCACTGGGCCTGTCTGTCAGTCGGTCGGCTTTCGCACAACCTTGGCCTGTTTTCACTGGGCCGTCAAGTCTGATCGGCTTTCGCACGATCAAGGGCCTGTTTTCACTGGGCCTGTCTGTCAGTCGGTCGGCTTTCGCACAACCCTGGCCTGTTTTCACTGGGCCGTCAAGTCTGATCGGCTTTCGCACGATCAAGGGCCTGTTTTCACTGGGCCTGTCTGTCAGTCGGTCGGCTTTCGCACAACCCTGGCCTGTTTTCACTGGGCCGTCAAGTCTGATCGGCTTTCGCACGACCAAGGGCCTGTTTTCACTGGGCCTGTCTGTCAGTCGGTCGGCTTTCGCACAACCCTGGCCTGTTTTCACTGGGCCGTCAAGTCTGATCGGCTTTCGCACGACCAACACAAGACAACAAGAGTCAGAACAACACTGGTAACAAATTGTGTTTCTTCAGTACGCGTGCGAAACTATGCCAATGAGCATAGAGTCTCGTACTGAATCCACTTTTGAGAACTTAAGGCGTTTCTGAAACTATGCCAATGAGCATAGAATCACGCGTTAAGTCTCTTAGATACCAGAACAGGCACTGATTACTCGAAGCTGCCTAACTGGTGAACCCAAGGCTGACTCTTTGAGAACTTAAGACGTTTCTGAAACTATGCCAATGAGCATAGAATCACGCGTTAAGTCTCTTAGGGACCAGAAGAGGCACTGATTATTCGAAGCTGCCTCACTAGTCAACCCAGTCCTCTAACTGGTGAACCCAGTTTCTCTCTCTTAAGTCTTTTCACACCCTTCCTTATCAAAACAAAATTAGATTTTGTTTCGGGTGTTTTAAAACATAAAAATCTACAAGGCATGTCCAATTAATCAGAAAAAGTATTAATTAAATTTTAAAATAATTTATAATAATTTATGACGTCATCTAAATTGCAAAACAAAAAAAAAAATACGTTGTCACCTATCGAGTAAATTAACTTGCACCATGCCCCCTATCGAGTGAATAAATTTCGCGTTGAAAATTTTGCAGTATTTTTTAGTCAGCATTATTTCATAATTCTGACAATATGCATGCATACATCAACACTATACTATAAATAACAGAACAAGTTTGAAAGCATTCTTTGGCCTGTGTTGGATTCAAAAAATGAGATCATTCAAAAGGTCAGCATGCAATATTAATTCTTCTTTCTTAATATTTTATATTTATTAATTTTATATAATAATATTATTTAAAAAAATATGGATATTATTTTCTCATTTTAAAGAGTAAATTTATTTTTTATTCAATTTTTAATCAGCTGACAGTAAGTTGTATAACTCATTTGGCTGCCATTGGTGGGGGTGGAGCTAATGGGCAATTGTTCCAGGAGGCGTGGCTACACCTCATTAATAATTCATTATTGCATGCTAATGAGCTAGTTGATATGTTGGCTAAAGTGATTTTAAATAAAGAATCAAGTAAGAAATATTTATTTTTTGTTGTTTCATTTTTTTTGACGAGTTTACTTGTCAAATGTATTAACTTATTTTGAATTTTAAAGTGGCCAATCTCAGTAAAGACAAAGCCGAAACCACGCGTATATCATTTTATTTCGACCAATCAAAATCAGAGGATGTGAACTACTTGACCAATAGGCTGAAGGGATTGACTAATGTTGTTTGCAATTTGATGGGGTTAGGTTGTTGCACTATGAGAGATAAAATATAATTTATTATAAAGATAATAATAATAATAATAGTTATAATAAAAATAATTATTTCTATAATTGTTATATTAATTTTGTTTATTATTACAATTTTTCAGTCATAATTTTCCTACCGTTGTGTCTCTGCCCGTAAAAAACATTGTAAACTTGATAACGAAAATTCTAGATTGTCGTCTTGTAAGTTTGAAAAAGCTTTCTGAGGGTTATGCTCATGATGATGATTGTGATGATGATGATGGTGATTGTGATGATGATGATTGTGATAATGATGATGATTGTGATGGCTATTATTAATTATATCTTTTATTTAAATTTACTTTTTAACAGATCTCGGTTGGTAAAGACAGACAAATCTTTTACAATCAGCTCATTAATATTCATATTTTAGCCTTCAGACTTCTTCAATCATTGATTCTATGGTAATTAATTTTAATTTATTCAAGCTAATTAATATTCATTAGCTGATTAGCGTCTGAGTTGTTCGAGTTAATTAGTTTTAATTAGTTAATTTTAATAATGACGGAATGAATAATAAAAATATAATACTGAAAAAAGATTAACGAATGAATGAACAAGTGAATAAATTAATAAATAAATGATGGATGGATTGATTGGTTGATTGATTGATTGCATGAATCAGTATCAAACGTTTCATCGGCTTCTGAAAAATTACGTCCAAACACAACCTCATGTAAACCTCTGTGTACCTTTATATTTCACACACACA